CCCACACCCTCATCTAGAGGCTCATGGTCCTGGCAGACATGGGAAGCCTGACCACTTGTGAAGACTGAGGCAAAGGACTCACTGAGCACCTCAGATTTTCTATGTCTGAGGAAGCCAGCTCCCCATTACCTTCCACTGGGGGGAACGCTTTCCTTGATCCATCTCCTCCTGCCTACCTACCTCTAGAACCTTATCTTTCACATCGCTTGCCAAGTTCAGCTCTATTTGTGCCTTGGCTTTCCTAATCCTATCTCTACACACACAGACAACAGCCCTGTATTCCTCCCAGGCTGCACAACCCTGCTTCCACTTTCTGTGCATTTCCCTCGGTTTAAGCTGCAGATTCCTGCACATCCATGTTTTTAACAGTTATCGGTATGTTTGTGGTTTTCTTTTTTTGTTGGTTGTTTTCTGTTATTACTGCTGCTTTTGTTTGTTTGTTTTCAAAGGCAAAATATGCCAGTGTAAGGTATAACATATTAAAGCAGTATGCAGAAGCGTGATAGAGGTCCTCATGAGATAGTTTAGGAGTGATTAGGATGGATAAGTGGTTTTCTTGGATGGGCTTCTGGGTTCAGCTTTTTAGCATTGTTTGTTTAAACCCTTCATGTTTCTATAGAAACTTTTCACCTGAGACTTTAAATAGAGGCTCTGCATGTATCCAGAAAGTAAAGTTCTCTGTTGTCTTTGGCTACAAGGTCCTTTTTGACCCAAAGTCAAGTCTGGTAATGCTGAAAAGATCAGAGTTACTCTGAAAGGAAAAATGATGTAGAGATAACATATAGATGTAGTATTTATCTGTCTTTGATCTGGGTTTATTCTTAGTTTATCTCATTCTCTGTGTAAATAAACTGTCTAAAGCATATACTGCTCCCAAAACTTCGTGTGCTGCATCTACTAGCACAAGAAGATTGATCTCTTTGCTATTTCTTCAGGGAAAAAAAACCTAGCTCTTTTAGTTCTGAATGTTCTTGAATTTATTCTATCATGAAGTCATGATAATTGGTAGAATTATGATCAGACACCATAAGGCAAATTCTACCATTATCTGTCAAGATAATACTCCAGTGAAAATATCCGCTTGTGCCAGCTATAGGCAATTTATCTCTTCAAAATAGTTCTGCATCTGTTCTAAGATGTATTCTGTGCTGCATTTTGGATGGAAGTAGCTGGGCTAAGCTGTACTGCACAAGCCAACTGTGTGCAATGGTTGGGCCAATTCAAAAAACCTCTTTCTTCATAATAAAAATGAAAGTACCAAGCCATGGCTTTTTGATCCCAAAGTCTTCCTATCCAAGTTAGTACAGTCAGCTCCAGCTTAGAAAATATTTTGGCTCAAACATTCCACAATTCTTTTTATTTGTGCATTTTCCTCTTGGATTGTTATTTGCTTGGATTGTCCATTGTTCAACAGCTGAAAATGTGTTTCTTAGTTGTTTGTTTGTTTGTTTGTTTCTCTTGATATGCTGACTTAAATTAACATTTAAAAAAAATTAGAAGTATTGTTCTTCTGAACAAGTACTTTCAAGTTTCACTTAAAAAAATGAACAATTTATATTCAAATGTGATTGGCTATGGTCTTATACTAAGGCACTGTACTAAGTTTTGGATCTACTGTGATCTACTGTGTTGTCTTGATTTTATTTTATTTTTTTAAGTATTAGCTTTTTAGCAGGCAGTAAACTGTTTTCCTGTTATTTGCTACAGAACAGTGAAATGATGTTTTGCTGTTTTTTTTTTTTGTTTTTTTTTGTTTTTTTCCTGGGTGTAAGTCCCATGCCTACTTGCTTGATGTGTAAAATTCACAATTACGTTCAGCAGACAGGGAATTAAAGGAATATTATGCTATTAGATGCCCTGTAAAGTAGTCCTGAGTTCCTCATTCACTTTGGTTTTGCTCTTTATTGTGTGTCTGTCGTACTTGGGGAGTTGGAAATCTCACATAGTGTTATAAGGTAAGACTAATACAGGTTGTAGTGTTGGTGAAATTGGCCAGAACCAGCTACCTTGCTAAATAAGGACATCAGTTACTTCCTATGAATGCACAAGTGGCAGAATAGCTAAATCATGCATTAGTCACATGAAGAAGTTGTATATACGAAATTGAGTTTGGTAAAAGAGGGTAAAAATGATTAAAATCTATTTAGGGATAAAGATTCAAATCTAAAACGTCAGATGTTAAGCAACTGAAATTTTAAAATATCACAGATGATACAATTATGGAGCCTATTAATGAAACCATTCCACCTTCCACAGATTTATAATTTGTTGTTTTTTAGACCAGACCTGATTAATTAAACCACTAAATAATGGAGAGTATTGTCTTTAATATGACATGGTAATGTCTCTCTAATACATGTAGTATTAAAGGACAAGAAAATAATTAAAAAAAATATATTTTGTGAGTGGGTTTTTGATTTTTGGTGTTGTTTTCTTCCTTTAGGAAAAACCTGATTGTCAAAATATTTAATAGCTGTATATTGAAACAACTAATAGACCACTTCTAAAACACCAGGATTTTCAAAGCCTAATTGCTTGGGCAGTCTTATGTAGGTCTTTGCATATACTTCTTAGCTCAAAGATTCATGAAAGTACAAATCTTTCAAACCCTGGCTGTTTAGCTCATTATCATTCAAAGACAAGGTTGTATCTTCTTAAAAATACAGACAAACTGTAGGTGAAAGGGCAGCAACAACATCAAAGAAAGGTGAGAGTTAGTTTGGATGAAGGTTCAACAGCATGTTGTGAGGTAGGATAGAGGGGTATATAGCAGTCTATTGAATTATACTAGTTAGGGTGTTTGGCCTTAAATTCAAAACGATTTTCAGCTTTGTAAGTTAGATGTTTCTATTACTAAATGAATGCACTTCTGTAGATATACTTGAGCAATATGTTTTCCTGTAATATTTTGTGTGACAAACTCCTTATTCATTCTTGAATAAGATTCTCTTGTTCTTTGTGTAAGCTGGGTACTGATCCGGTTAAAAGATGTGTGTGTGCTGAGATGACATGAAATGCAGCAATCCCAGAACTATGCATAAACTCTCTCTTGCATGTGATTTATCTTCTTTCTTGCAACCTGAGTACCTAGACTGTGGAAAATATGGCCCACGTTTTTAAAAAGTTTATCATCTTTCACCAGAAAGCTCTGGGGAAGCATTTCTGGTATTGTCTTAGTTTAATAGTATAATAAGCACTTCCCAGTAAGTTTCCTTTAGCTAACTAAGTCCTACCTGGCATGTTTTAGATGAATCCATTGAAGTAGATTTGATGTTCAGGATTTAAAAAGAAAAAAAAATCCATGTTGATTACTCTCTATTTGAGCTCAGTAGTACTATCTTGTATGTTGTTTTCTTGTTATTATCTTTACACATTCTTATTTAACACTAGTAGAATGCTGCCTGTGTAAATATTCAGAATTTGGTTGAAAGTAACACATAGTGAAAATCTCCAGTAAATTATAGTTTTGTATTTGACCTTCAGGATGCCTTTTTGCAGTACCTGGAAAATGTGGCAAGCTTTGGAAAAGCATTTGCTGCCTTTAAAATGCTGTTTGTCTGTGAGTGAGAAGCCCACCTAGACTCTGAGAGTTGTTCATTCGCAGTGCCTTATCTGCAAACGTTATGTTTCTAGTGAACTATAATTAAGTTGTGAAGCAGTTATTGCAGAATCAGGGTATGTTACATGAGATCCAGACAAATACAAGCTATCTAGACCTAATATAGCCTGTCACAAAGAGTTCTGCAAATAAAAAATCTTAGGACTTGAAGGAAAACTTTCATTACTGTTCTCTCCACATGGTCACATTCTAAGGCTTCCGGCATCTTTTATGACACAGATCAACTTTCTGCATTCACTAGAGACAGTAGATACACTATGACTTGAATCATTGTATGTTCTTACTAAAAATGGTGTTAACAGTTCCTCTAAGAATGAGACGAATGAAAACTTTTTAACTAAGATGGCTTTGCAGTTTGAGTGTTTTTCCTTTTGCTATTGTTTTTTTGTTGTTATTTATTTGATATCTACTGGTGTTTATTGAGGTGATTCAGAGTTATGCTTTATTTATTACTGATTGCCTTTGGTATGTAAAGCTGAGCAATTCATGGAAAGAATAATCTTGTCACTGTGACCTTAACGTTTCTGTCTACTAGGGTAAGGAGAACTTGCAGTCAGCAGATATTTTCTATTAGCTATGTCTTATTTGAACTGACTTTAACAATAAGAAGTTGGTTCTTTCAAAGCACTGGTTAAACTGTAATAAGCTTCAATATCAGCAGTATTTTGAGGTAATTATTTTTAAAAATAAGTGTAGAGCAGGACCAAGCATTGAAGCTGTACCATATATTCATCTTTAGAGTGACTTTAATTCCAAACCATACCCATAAACTAAAAACTCATGTAAAACACCTACTGCAAATTAGGTTATTTTGTAAACATGCTCTTGAATGTCCACTGGCAAATTCCATGATGGAAATCACATAGAATTACTGCAGTTCAATGAAAAATATCATAAAAATAAATACATATTACTTCGGTGAATGAGATCTCAGGCAAACTGTGTATTATTTAAAACTTGCATATCCAGCTACATTATAATGAGCCATGCTTTTAATCAGATTAATGAGTCTGCAGTTTGGCACTGTTCATGACTCACAATAGTCTTCCCCTACGGCACAAGTTCCTAACAACCCTTCATGTATCATTCATTAAACACAGACTTTGTAATAGTATGTACAGCATAAGGACGTACAGGACAAGTGATTTTAGGAACAGTGACTACAAACAACTGTGGTAATCCCTGTCTTCTATATCCAGCTCTTCCAAAAAACCCAAATCAGTTCTGTATATTCACTCATTTTATGAATGTTGCTAAGATCAAGAATTTTAGAGGGATTTCTGTGAAACAGAAGTCACACAAAATCACACTCTTTTGAAACATGATGATTGTGGAAAGATTAATATATGACTTTTCTATCCTCTTCAATTAACGTTGACAGAAATGAGCAAAGCCATCAGAAATCTGAGACAGTGTCTACCCCAAGTCAAGTTACATGAATGAAACCTGAACTGAAATAAATGTTAACAATGAGATCATCAATAGGAATCATGCTTCTCCAGGAAGGGTAAGTAACTGTATTTGCAGAAAGAATTATTTGTGTTGTATTAGATTTATTTATTTATTTATCTATTTATTTATTTATTTTGTGTGTGTCATCATCTGTTCTCTCCTGCTTCTGATAGTTTAATTACTATCACAGTCATATTGACTCCAACAAGGACAGTTTTACATAGAAGGCTTTCTACTCAATGGAGAACAACATATGAAAGGTAGTCATTCCAAGTGAAAGGTACAATGTTTCCTTTGAAAATGGCACTCAAGCACGGTGCTCAGAACAGAAAAAGTTGAGTTCAATTAATTAGGAACTAAGGAATTATGTCGTGCTATGAATAGCAAATAAGTTTACACAAAGTATTATCAGTGAGTCAAACAGAATAGCTTTCCACTTCCCAATGCTTCAAAAATTCTCAATTCTAGAATACTTTGAAATAATCTTTTTTTTTTTTTTTTTTTTTTAACTGATCTTTAACTGATGATTTTAACTGATCATTGCCAGTGTTTCAAATATGTAATAACATAAGAGGAAGAATAATTAAGAAATATCCCAGGCTACTAATATTTGAGGTCCATCAATGTCAGCTTTAGAAGAGTCGAATTGCACATCTGTTGAAGTTTCAGTCAAAGATGTTTTTGTTCCTGACAAAACAATCCAGTAATTCCTACTCCAAATCTAGTACAAATCTTATGAAGCAAAAACCAACCAAACAAAACAACTTTAAGGAAATGTAAGATAATGTGTTGTTATTTTTATAAATTGACACAATTCTAGTAGTATGGGCTCCTAGAATAAGATAAGGAGCTGAGCAACCATTTTTAAAGCTGAGAAGAGGTCTGTGTTGTTACTCAACAGAGTGCTCAAAATCAAACCATTTTGTGTTAGCATTACTCCAATAAACAGGCTTGTGACTGAATTTAAATTAATATGAACTTTTTCAGCATCAAAAAAAGTTTGCATCCCATAAAGTTTGTCTGGGCTCATAGTTAAATCATTCTGGAAGACGTCATCGAGACATCATCAATTTCATGTGTTTCATTTGTTAGCCTAATTCTGTTTATTTTCTAGGTTAGCAAGAATACATACAGCAATGTCTTTGAAAATATCACTTTGCTTTCAGATACTCCGACAAACTAGATTTGATATCACTTCTGACACTTGATATACTGCCTCCAAAAGGCAGTGCTCATGGAAACAGTAAGCGGCACTTACTTACAACTTTGCAACATTATTCTCAAAAGTACTGACTGACTCATGTTCATCTGAAATAGTTTGCAGCTCTAGGGAAAATTAAGGAATGTACTGTATTGTTGTAAAGAAATCTCCCAACAGTGTTAATGTTCAGGCAAAGACAGCTGTATTTCTTATAGATTACAGACATACACACTTTTGTGTAGGGGAAGATTAAACATTGATCTGCAACATGTCACGGGTCTTCAGAAGTATTCAATTATGAAAATCTATTTCAATTAAATTTCTTTATGTAAACATTGTGGCAAAATGTAGAAGAATATAAAAGAATAGTAGATTTTTTTTTAAGGTGTTCTACAATGCACACTCCTTTCAATAGCTTCTTTAAGTATGAAATATTATGCTATGATTTTAAGTCTTTAAATGATATTAAAATTATGTATGTATATATATATTTTTTCTTAGTCAAAACTGAAATAGAATACTTGACCATACTAAATAGCATTTAATTTTGAAAGAAATTTTCTTAAATTGGGAATACCCACATTCTTGTGGGTAATATGAGAATGCAGTTCTATTTGTTATTTTGTGGTGTTTGACTTTTCTGCTCTGGCAAAGTACTCTCATTTTACATATGTTCTGTGCATTGGGCAGAATGTGAGAGTCTAGATTCTTAATTGGATGTCCAGCTTCTCTATCATACAATGTTTTCTTCATTTCATTTCAGCAGAATTCGTCTGAGCTTGCATTTGTCATTCTTAAAGCAAATTAGGTGTATTCACAAGCTAAAGAAGATTAGACTTTGTGTTCTGTGTGCCTGTTATTGCTATTTATTTTTTCTCTTCCTAGCGAGCTACCTTTCTTACCGTGGGAATGCTCCATAAGTATTTGCATCAACAACAATACATGCTTTAGAGACCTGGAGAAATAATTACTGCAGTGTGGTATTTTGACTTCTGCTTCTGTGAAGATCTAACTGAATGTCTCAAGGAGGTCAGTTTTATGGACTGCTAAAGGAGGTAGGCTTCCTGCAATTACTTACAGTAATTACTTATAAGTCTTACAGTACAAGTACATTTAAACAGTATGTACTGTTGTATGTACTGATGTAATTCCAGGGCAGTCAATTGAATAATTTATCCTAGGGAAAAATAAGACAGCAATTGTTTCCAGCTCCTCATTCTGGATACTCCTGTCATAGTCACTAAACTGAGATTTGTGGTTACAGTGATGGAGGGGGAAAAAAGAAATGGAAAAAAAAAAAAAAAAAAAGTACTGTACTTTCAAGGGTCAAATTTCTGTTGATGTCACTGAAAAAAGAACAGTTTCATTCACAGGATGACTATAAGATTTTTTCCTCTAGGTGATAGGTAAATATGAGGTGCTCTAAAAGTACTGCCTCCTATTCTGTTATGTTGTCCCATGACATCAAAGATGGGTGCTGGTGGTATGGCAGTAGGGGTTGAACCTTCTCACCAATATTCTATTTTTGTTGTCGTGAGACAGATTGCAGCTAAAAAATTGCTCTATAAAATAGTGTTATTGTGCTCTTTATTGTGCATAGTTTCCATGGAAATAAATAGAAAGCATTATTTTTGGAGCATCCTACGTCGATTCTTCTGTTTTGGTTCTGGACATCCTTATTTTTTGCATGATATCTGCATCTGTTAGAATCCAAAGAAACCACAGAATCACCACGGTTGGAAAAGACCTCCAAGAACATTCAGTCCAACCATCCACCTACCAACCATATTTCCCCACTGAACCACGTCCCTTACATCTAAACATGGGATCGTAGCCTCATATAGAAGGGACTCCTCTGTTTTATCTCATAGGCACTATATATTGCCTCTCTGTCAACGTCACCTTCAAGGAAAATAACAATTACTTTCTTTTCCCAAATTCTAATTACAAAATGGAATGACTGTAGGTGGATAACGATGGCTAAACAGGGACCAACATACAACACAGAGGAAACAATCATTTGAAATGAGAAATTAGTCTTCTGCTGTGAGGAAAATAAGTCAGTCTTTCTATATTTAAAATAGGAACTTCTGAGAACTTCATCTTTGCTTTCCTATAGCAAAGAAGAAAAATACATGGAAATTTCAGTCCACTTATATTTTCTATGTTTCTGAGGAAAAAAAAAAAAAAAAAAATTGAATGTAAACTACTGAGTCTCACACCACTGTCTTGGTATGTTGTGGTTATGGCACGTGGGTTATTTATTTATTTATTTATGAAAATGATGTAAAATTCTTGATGTTCTTCCTATTTTATTCTGAATAATCTTTTCTGAATGGAACTTTGTCTCCTAATTCAAGTGCCACTAAAATAAAGGTTAACCTCACTGACTGTATATAACTTCAGTGGAAAAGTTTTTATAAATTATCTTGTTGTTTCACAGGCCTTGGAGAGTGCTGTTGTGGATAGCAATGAGGGTGACTCATCTGGCTATAGAGCTGGAAATGGAAATGTAATATTAAAGAAAATAAATAACAAGACTGAAAAGAGAATTAAATGAGGAAATGAGGCGTGAATGCGTGAGACAGAGGTTAGTCTACTGCATGTAAGTAGATATCGCCTAATTGTTTGGGAAGCAAAACTTAGTAAGGGAACTGTAGGATTATGAGTGAACTAGAGCACTCTAGGATATGCCTACCAATTACTTTATTGCAGCAGGTAGATCTGCCACTCTGTGGTGTATAAGGGATAGCTTGAAAACCCCTTTCTTTGAAGAAATGCATTATGAGTAGTGATTAATTTGTATTGCTTACGTATGTGTTACAATGGATTATTTGCATTGCCTATAAGCAGTTTATCACATTCAGATTTCCAAAATCATTCTTCTAAAGAAAAAACAAACAAAAAAAAAATGTAAATTTACTTTAAAACACAAGAAATAGGTCTTGAAACTTAACATAAGCTTTGTTGCATGAAAATCTGAACTTAGAGCTAGCAATACTTCTTGAGAACTCTTACGCTTTTACAAATTGATCTGTAAAGGCAGCTGAGACTGAATTTGGTGCACAAAGATACTTTTCTACGTCATTTGACAACTGACTGTACCCTTACTGCTGCGGAAACGCTTTGCTTTTCCTATGTCAGTTACTCAAATGTCAGTACAGCATCAGGTCGTAAAACAAACCCCTCTCCAAAATTTCATGCAAAAATTCATTAGAAAGAATGAATATTTTAAATTTTAACTCCAGTAAATGTAACATATAATATACTATAATATATATAAAATAATATATAATATAATCAAACTTTATCTATAATAACTAAATAATGTGTAAGGATGTGCAACTACTCATAAAAGCATTGTTGCTGTGAAATCTCTAAGAGGTTACATAAACGAAAGCAATTAAGAAGAAATTCAAAATAAACCCTATCTTTCAAAACTCTTTGCTTGTGTATACATGTAAGCTACAAACGGAGGACAAAACTGCTCAATAAGTTTCATGTGAAACCTTGTTAGCAATTTGTATCAACAAAATAAATAGAGGTTAATTGAGGTGTGCTCATAAACATTTTGCTGTCTGAGCAAATAGTTTTTATTTGTAAAACTAATTGAGCCTTTTGCGGTTTGTTTTTTGGAACTGTGATATAGACATTATCATACAATCCTGTTAGAAAAACAGAATAAAAATTGCATGATCAGCTTCTTAATTGTAGATAGTAATGTATTTATATTCATATTATGTATTAGTTACATAATACATTCTTATCAATATGTATGAATAATATATTTTCATTATAATTCTTTTGTCAAAATAGATCATATAGAGAGACCTTTTATTCTCCCGGTTTTATTTTGGATTTGGAAAGAAACAAGAATGGTATAATTGAGGATTATGAGATTTCTTATTTTATACCTCACAGACTTTAGGATAGTCTTCATGGAAGGGCAGAGGTCTGGATTAATAACAGGAGGTTGCAAGTCTCTGAGTTCAAGCCCACCTGGGTCGGGCCCCACAGGTCTGAACATACAAGTGAGATCAAATAATAATGCTACTTGCCAAAGCCATTATTGATAATTGATGATGTGGTGGAGGAAGCAGGGCTTAGCACAGCTAGACCATATTCTAAACTCATCTGTTTAGCTTCAGACTGGTGGAAGTCACAGCACAGGTCCTTGTAATTAGAAGAAGGCTGTGTCTTTCTTAAATCTGAATAGACTTCGTTCCCAATTATTTCCTTTTTATAGGATGAGCTGTGTCAACACTTTCAAGGCACTTTCCAAGGTCCCCAAAACAAGCTACTGAAATATCACTAAACTTGTGTTCTTGACAGCTAAAAAGACTAAAGACCTAATAGTGTTTGTTATTTGCCTTATACAAGCCAATTCATTTCCCATACACATAAAATACAAATATAGTCTTTTTTAAAGGAAATGAACCATTTGGAAACTGAAGAACAAAATAAATCAGATTCCCCAGTGTCTCATCAAGTGCTGGAAGCCTGAATCTAAATTTAGAAAAGGCAAATGAAAATACATTCTGTATTAAAGTGTCAAGAGTGGTTTAAAAAATGTTGGTTGTAAAGCAAAGTGTCACTTATAGTATATGTTTGTATATTCCCTAAAAAAAAAAAAAAAAGCACTAGGACTTCTGAGGTTGGACAGAGCAAGAATAGAATGGCTGCCTTTCCAGATATGCCTAGCATTCAAAGTAGGGTCCCTGTGCACAGGAGCTCTTACTGCCACAGCTGTAGAGGAAAATTCAGTTTTTACACTCTCTGCTGCAGTGCAGGATGAGTGGTGGCAGGTCGACATAGCTCTGTTATATCCCACATCAGATGTTTTTGTAAGAGGGGATAGCCAGGTCCAAGGTTCATTTATAAACAGTATAGCAGTCTAACAGAATCTAAGTAACTGCTAAATAGGTCCTGGCTGCTCTAGGTAACTGTGTTCATATTTGAAATCTTTTCTCCCTCAGCAAATATTCACCAAATAAAGTGAGTAGCTGTTCTTGCGTTTACTTCCTTGCTAAGACAGATGCTGCCTTATTATCGGTAAACAGCCTTCTGATATAAAATATTAAGTGCAAATCAGAATGGATCTAAATATTGATATTTGAAAGTTGTAGTTGGTCTGTTCCAACAAAAGATGGCACTGCTGTTTTCTTCAGAACTGTAAAGTCTATTCATTGAAATTAAATACTTTTAAAACAGTTCCCTCATGTTTGTCACAGAATATGCTCACTGAGATTGGTATTTGTTATTACTTAGCTATTACTTAGCTACCAAAGGCCTTAGACCTTTGAAAAGCACATATACATCCACAAGAAGTCCCAACTGGAAAAAACTAAGTGCCAATAATTCACAAAATACTCTTACAATTTTAATGCGTTAACACCCTCTTGGAGTCCAATTTAATCTTGATCATTATTTTATGGAGATAGTTTTGCAACAAATAAGAAATAGAAGGAAAATATTTTTGAAGATTCTCCCTGACCTGTCTTTCTTTATTAGATATTTATTAACAATATTTTTTTGAAATGCCCCTGGATCCAGGTGCACCCTTCGTTGACATTTTCTGCCAATATTACATGTGTGCTCCTAATAAGATTTTACACAACTCTGAACTTGTTTCACTGCCTTAATTCAAATGAATTCGCTTTGTACTTCAGAGCTAAGCAAAAATTAGGTATGAGTACTAATCCCATAAATAGTATAGATTAAGATGGCAATAAGGAACGAATAGAATGTACTTTCTTAGTGTGAAATAGACTGCACATCCCCAATTACAAAATAAATTTGCAGTAGGTCTGTGTTAAAATTAAAGCATCTACCTGTTACCATGACTAAAACCTAAAAAGAAAGCAAAAGCCAAACCCCCAGACAATAACAACCATGGTATGTAAATCATAAGTAGTCATTTCAGATAGAACTAAATTAAAAAAATGGACATATTCAGCATCTTGCAGGAATACACAAAAATCATTCCATCTTTGTCATCACCTTATCCCAGTATGATCTGAAGTATGTAATTTAGCCTGAATGACACCATCAAAAACTCAAATGTCCCAAGTTATCCAATATGCTTTACGTTAAGTGGAACCAAAAAATTCAGATGCATTTGGATAAAAATTACAATATATTCTAATACTGAGGGAGCTTTTTTCTTGTCATTTTTTGGTGATATTTCTGTACATCGGAAGCTACATCTCAGATATGCTTTCAACTTTCATTTTGGGTTTGTTTTTCTAAGAATACAGTCATGTTATGCTGTAAAGAACCTTTCTTGTTCTTTTTCAATCCTTTCCATACTTTTCTCCAAAACAAGGATCAAAAAAAATAAAACCTGCCAGGCAAATGATCCTGTATTCTCAAAGCATCCTGAAGTTGAGAATAAAGGTTTCTTATGAAAAGAAGCATGTAACAAACACCTTTCAAACTACAATGAACTATTCTCAACATGGTAAAGCCCCAGATATTCCAGCTTCCTTGCTGCTAGTGATCACCTCCATTCAAAATGGCAGCCAGCGGAAGTACTGAGGAAGCAAAAGCTGTAATTCAAAGATGATCACGGATGCGTATCACAATGAAACTGTAACAGTTCAAACAGTGAAATAATACAATTTCTTAAAACAGTAATACTGACCTTTTTATTGGCAGAGGTGTCTTTCCATGCAGCTCACCAGTCTCACCAGTAAACAGGACAGTGACGCATTGACAAACGCTTACAATTGTCTTCAATGAGTGGAAGGAGAACTGCAGTTTTACAGGTCTTTGCGCATTTGCATAGCAAGACATCACCTTGCCTCATTAAGAATACATTACCACTTTGTTTGTATGTTCAGAGTCTTTTTAATGAGATTCCCTTTAAAATACTGTTTGGAGAGAAGCAGAATATTAGCACATATGTATTTCAATCATATGTTCAATGCAGTAAATTCAGGAGAAAAAAAAGTTGTCAAAGAAGTGCAATACGTGGGTTTTAGATTTTCTCAAAATTAAGCTTTAAAAATTACTATTAAGCTTTAAAAATTACTATAATGTGTATTTTGTCCTTTCCCTTTGTCTTCTGTCCTTTTTGCTTTTATCCTCTTCTAATATAACCTTGCAGTTGGGCATTTCTCCAAATTTAAACTCTTTTTTTAATTTTCCAGTTTTACCCTGGTTGGTTTTCTTTCTTTCTTTCCTTCTCCACTTGCCTGATGTTCCAGGCTGCATTATACAACAACTTTGCTCCACATTCTTCCCTTCCTGTCTCAGAACTCTTTGCCCTTTCTGTGTTCTGCCTGCTTCACTGGAGAACTATGTCTATATCATGCCTGCATTCATTCAAGCTGGAAATCAGAAGAAGGTGAGTACCGAAGAGAAACTGCAGGAAACTTACTGTCTTTCCAAGGAGCTGAACTTTCTGTTCACTCATTGCTCATGGAGAGCTCTGCTGACTCCTGTCACAACCCCAACTCGCAGCCGTTCCCCAGAGGTAGCCAAACAGGCACAGCTCAGGAAATTCCTGTAATTGAATTATGTCAGCTGCCAAAAACATTCATTGTATTGCCAAAGTTCTTACGGAAAAGAAGAGAAAGTAATATTGAGAAAAAGAGCTTGAGGAAGAGGGACTGAATTTCATGCTCAAAATTAATGCTAACATAATAAAAAATGTTCATAGTAGTCAATCAATCATATTGCAACCTTTCCCACATCTTAAAAATGTACTTGGTTATTTACTGCAATAACACAGTAATTTTCACCAGGTACTACTGTTTCATGATGCTGCATTAGCAAATCAAGCAGTAGACCAGGGGTTGCAGGTGTCTTTCAAAC